ATCAAGTCGAAAAAGTCGTGACAGTCCAACCGTCTGGCAAGTAGAGTGTAGGTACTTTAGTCGGACGCCTTTTGAGCTTCGCATCGTGTATAAGTCATGCTTTTGTCCTTTTGTTGATAAGTGATGTCCGAAGGCGAGTCAACTCACGTGTGTGGTCGTTGGATGAAAGTCAAATCAACCCTTGTCAAATTGATCGGGACGAGTGGTATGCATGATTGTATTACACATAAGTTGATCTCATAATACATGTCAGCTTACGTTGACCTGAGTCTTTCTATGATGTTTAACTTTTGATTGTCTTTGGAAGAAGGGACCAGGATTGATTGAGGTTTTCTTACGCTTGGAACATCACGTCCTAGTCGACCGACGTCGGTCCGATTCCTGGGAGATCAGCGCCCCAGGGACGGGCGACGTTCGGGTCCACTTTGGCGTTTAACCATGCGTACCTATGCTACAGCGAACGAGCAAACGCCTTCGGCCGGCCTACCTCTGCAATTGCATTATAAAAGCTTTCGCATGTGGGTCGGTAGCTCGGTAGGGATACGCCCCTAAGGGTGGTGACAGCCCCTTAGGGAAGGTAAGTTGTGCCCCGCGAGAACATGTCCTGTCGTAGGGGACCGCGGGATGTACAACTGGCGCACGCGGCCGGAGCGGCGAAGGGTCGACGCGGGTTACCGTGTCGTCCCCGAGTTGTCTCTAAAAATTTGAAAATCTAAGATTCTCCTGCGTGATGCGGCCATGAGGGCCCTCGCTCGCGGGAGGGCCGATGCGCTCGACAGGTGGCGCCGTTGCCGGAGATAACGGCAGACTACTGCTGTCCCTGGTGGAACGACACTCGGGAATGGAGCAAGTAAAAGATCGTGTCGTAATGGTTGTCTAAGACAAAATGTTAGTAATCTCTGGACCTCTATAAGTGTAAGGAAGTAACCTTAATAGATGCTACCAAACTCCCAGACTGATTTCTTGGGTTTATGTTTTTGTCCCTAGATGGCCGGTGCCGCAGGACGTCGCGACAACGACGACGATGGGAGGAATGACATTCAAGAACTGGCACGGGTTATCCGGCAGTCGCAGCGAGAGCCCTACCCTAAGATTGATGTTCCGTTGTTCGACGGGAATCATGCCTCTTCTTGGGCAGACAAGTTCAAGCAATTGGGATATAGCAACGAATGGACAGATGAGAAGATGCTTCGCATGGTAAAAAGGTACTGTCAGGTGGGGTACCGAGACGAGATCGATGAGCTGGTGCAGATCTCTCGTGATTGGTCAGATTTTAAGGCGCGGTGTTGGAGAACTACCAGCTCAGCGATAGGTTGCTCGACCTGCAGGATCTGAGGGCGGTGGATCGTAAAAAGTTTCGTACTACCAAACAATTTTTATCGGAATTTGAGCGTGTGGCTTGCCTAATCCCGGATCTGTCCGACAAAGATCGCTGCCTTATTTTCCTTGATAACTTCAACGACGTCGAACATTCGAAATTGGTTGAAGGGATGCAAGGGAGGTATGACTGGACTAAGGTCCGACAAAATGTGCTGGTGGGGAAGTTCGACGATATCCTCTACCGGCTGTTGAGGCAGCAAAAGGAGGAGCGGGAAAAGGTGAAGCTGGGAGAAGTAAAGGACGGTGGAATTTACAAAACTTTGACCTGCATGAGAGAAATGATGGAGGGCATGAAGGAGGAAAGGCTGAAGTTTCAAGTCATGTTGGCCAAAGAGAAAAATAGTAAGAGGAAGGGGAAAGAGCCGGCGAAAGAAGAAAGTGACAGTGAGAGCGAGGAAGAAAAGGAGCCGCCTCGCAAGTTGACAAAGGCGAAGAGGAAGGTCTTGAATCAAATTTGAGGCGGACAGGGGACTTCTCAGGGGAAGAAAGATGGGCAGAATAATCAAGGAGGGAATGGCAATGCTGGCGCTGGTTCGTCAGGACAAAGTTCCCAAGATCAAGGGTAGTTCCAGCCGCAGGGTGGAAGAGGCCGCGGTCGAGGCCGTGGGAACGGACAGCGAAGCCGTTGGGCGTAGCAGCAGGAAGCCACATGTAACTATTGCGCAGAAAAGGACCATATTATGCGGTTTTGCCAACTCCTTTCAAGAGATGAGAAGGAAGGAATTGTCTTCACCACGATACGCGGTGAAGTCTTTGATTACGAAGGGAACCTGATCGACCCCAATATTGAAGGGGGTATAAGGAGGCGTTTCGCCGAATAGGTCGTCCCCTACCGGCGACGTTCCGGATTGCTTCTCCCGAAGAAGCACGGTTGGCAGAGGTCGAGGAGGCCATGGCGTCGTTGCGTATCTACGACTCACTGGTGGAGCCGGAAGGATTCAGGGAACAAGTGGTGGAACGAGTGCAAACCATCACAAGGCGGCTTGCCCGGTGCCGGAACTCTATGATCCGACTTTGCGCGGACATGGAGGAAGTCTGGCCGGGGTTGCCGAATGTGTTTCTCTTCGACGAATGGGGTGATAAAAGGGAAGATGCGTCTGGCCAAGCAGGGACGTCTGCTCCGAGAGAAGCATCACAAACTGGGCCAATAGTAAGCACGATGCAACCTAGGCCTGTGCTAAAGAGGAGTGCTCCGACTGTAGCCGTTCAGACTCGAATGCGGCGACGGAACGAGCAGCTTCAGAAGGAAAGAGGGTCTGGAAAGGCAGTGGAAAGAGGAGCCTATCCCCGTTAGTGAGAACGATGAGGATAACGAGGATGAGAAGTTGCGGGCCGAAGAGGAAGAACGGGCTTGTTGTCGTGCACTGGAAAGGGAGCCGGAGAAAGGGAAGGCCGAAGTAAGCGAGGAGGAGCCACAAAAGAAGAAGAACATTTATTCGATCCCCGTGGAGCAGGGAGTCGATATCGAGCAACTCCTCAATAAGATTCTGGAAAGTCAGCGCGACTTGGTCACGCTGAAGGAAATTTTGGCGGTATCGTCGAAAATTCGAGAAGAGTTTAAACAGCGGATGACTCGTAAGAGAATCATGACTGTTAAGCTCGGCGAAGTCATTCTGCCGGAGGCTAACTGGTCCCCGCCTGGGACAAAGATGGATTGGCGAAGTGTGTCAACCGGCCATATGAAGGTCCAGATTGGACAGCAGGAGTATTCGGCACTTGTGGATGATGGAGCCGAGATGAACATCATTCGTGAGCACCATGTCATCGAAGCTGGGTTGAAGATCAACCGAGATGACTATGGGTTTCTGGTGGGCGCTAGCGGATCGACCCCATTCTGCGGGACAGCCAGTGGCGTTCTCGTCACGGTCGGAAAGGTTAAAGTCCGCTCTTATTTCTACGTGTTACCTAGAGTGGAACACGAGGTGCTTCTGGGAAGGTCGTTCCTATATCGGTCAGAAAGCATCATCATTAACAAGCATGATGAAACCATGTTTGTAATCCTTTGTGATCCTGTCTGCAGTTATTACAAAGTGGTCAAGTGTGCGAACACTGGACCCTATTGCTCGCGGAACCGGCTAAACCCAGAATCCTATAGCTTCCCGGAGTCAGAAAAGTTGAGACGGGAGAAGGAATCACTAGGGGAGGAGTCGAATGCTCGTGAGTTTTCACTGACCCTGCCTGATATTGGGCAGGCAATCGATTTCGTGTCGACACATACGGCGATCGACCCGAATGTGGTGCAAGCCTTGACGGAGATCATCACGGACACCGAAAGCACATGAACTATGCGCCTTGTTTACTCCCCGTCGGAGGGGAATAAGGGAGAAGATCAGGAATTGCCCTCCACTCGACAGGGTCCTTTTTTAGAGGACGCAGGCTTGACACCGGCGCCAAACGTAAGTACAAGAAAGTAGGCGTGAAGGCGAAGCCGGTACCTGTTATGATCACTCAGGAGGAGGAAGTCTATTATCGTGAGGAGCGCGAATGGATCAGAGAAATGAAAGAGAGAGGTGAAAAGGGGTCATGTCGGTTAACCAAAGAAAGAGTGGAAAGTATGATCATTGGGGAGGAGGACCTCCTCACTGAGCAGGAAAAAGGGTATATGATCGATATATTGAGGGAGGAACATCTCTCATATGTGTTCGATGATGATGAGCGAGGAAGGCTGGATGTCGATAAAATCCCGATGATTTGAGTTCATACTGTACCACATGAGCCATGGAATATGAGAGGGCCACGTTATCCGAATCCGAAGGATCACCGTAAGGTGGTCGCGTATCTCGATGGAAAGATCCGGACAAAGGTTGCAGATTATTCTTATGGGCCGTATGCATCTCCATGGTTCTGTTTCATCAAACCGAATGGTACTCTGCGATGGATTCAGGACCTTCAGAAGTTGAATTCAGTGACAGTGCGAGATGCAGATGGGTTCCCACATGCAGACCTACAGTCGAAATCTTGTGCAGGGAGGTCTATCATCGCCCTCATTGATTTATATTCCGGGTATGATCAGTTCCCCATTTACACTGCGGATCGACCCAAGATGGCGATGCACAGTCTTCGTGGATTGATCCATATGTGTGTGGCGCCGCAGGGGTGGACGAATGCAGTTGCCATTATTCAGAGATATATGACGAGGGTTATGCAGCCTTATTGTCCTGACATAACTTCACCGTATATTGACGACTTGACTATTCCAGGATCTTGTACGAAGGACCTGACGGACGTGTTGTCGGGCATTCGCCGCTTTGAAGGGCAGGAAAGACCTCTCAGATTTGAAAGCAGGACTCTGAATGTTGCTGAGATGAACTATTCCCAGTTCAAAAAGGAAACTTTGACCGTGCTTCACTATTTTCGTATCTTTCAGAATTATGTATTCGGTAGATGCTTCATCCTGCGGGTGGATCCGACTGCATTGGCTCAATCCTTAAGGAATTATTCACCTGCTGATCCCACCATTGCATGATGGTTGACTTATATTTGGATGTTTGACTTTAAAATTGAGCGGATTTCGGGGAGTCAGAACCGTGCTGATGGGCTGAGTCGGGTTGAATGGGATCCAGAATCGGATCAGGCAGAAGAATCAGTTTCGGTTGATGTCTTTCTGAAGGAGGAGGAGTCGAGATTGAGTATTAACTCTCTTGCCTACCTGACAGATGGGGCCACTCGGCATGGGAAATCAATATGGAATGCCCTCACTTGTCACGAGGTACGTTCAGAGCTCGTGATGGAGGAACCTTTCATTGAGGAGGATCCATGGGGTGAGCAAACCGCAGAGGAAATGATGAGGCGGACTTTGACCGATGACATCGACCTTATGCTTGATCCACTAACGATTGAACAGGGCCATACGCAGGCTGATGACGCTTTCAAGACCGTTGGAAGAATGTCAAGTATCATGAACTTGTTGGTTCATGAGGATCGCCTGAGGTTAATGAATGCGGAGGAAGGAGACAGTGAGGTCAAAGAAGCGTTTAAAGAAAAGGAGTACGAAGAGGAATATAAGAAAATAGGCATGTGGTTGAATGGGGAATTGGACGAAAGTGAGGTTGATCCGGTTGTACGAGAGAAAAACAAAGGATTCGTTGTTCGTGACGGTCATCTCTTTAAGAAGGCTGCTGATGGTGTCTCAAAGAGGGTGGTATGCGGAACCTCCAGACAGTTGGATGTGATTGCTGCTCTACATGATGGGGTAGCCGGCGGGCATAGGTCTGCGCGGGTAACTCTGAACAAGATCCAACGTCTCTATTTCTGGGAAGGGATGAGCAAGATGGTGATTGACTTTTGTAAATTTTGTTTCCCTTGTCRACAGAGGTCTAACATCCACTACCTCGAACCTCTAAATCCATGTTATGTGGCAGAACCGGGCGCAGTGGTGCATTTGGATCTCTTGATAATGCCACCCGGGATAAATGGGTACAGATATATCTTTGACGTACGAGACAATTTGACTGGGTTCGTTGATGGTCGTGTTATTCGCGAACGTACTGGATCAGTTTTGACGGAGTGCATTGAGGAATATTACCTCCGTTATCCATTTATTCAAGAGATTGTTATGGATCGAGGAGGCGAGTTTCGAGCAAAGGAGGTGCGAACGCTTTTGAAGAGACTTGGGGTAAGTTTCAGTTGTACGACGAGAGCGCATCCCCAGGCCAATGCACCCGTGGAACGAGGACATGTCACCTTGTCTAACTTATTGGCTAAATGGTGCAAGGGGGAACCATCAAGATGGCCAATTTATTTGAGGGCAGCCTTTTTCGTTGAGAATGTTACCATCAAGCGAACAACTGGGTATGCTCCCGTCACATTATGGTTTGGACGGCATGTGACTTTTCCAATTGAGAGTTTCCTGACCACTTGGCAAAAATAGGATGTGGAAACGAAACTTTCCACGGCAGAGTTATTGGAATTGAGGGCAAGACAGATCATGGCGACTGAAGAACGGATTGAGGATGCGGTTGTCTCTACTTCTGAAAGCAGGCAGGCTGACAAGGAAAGATGGGACAAGAGGCCACGTGTACGAAAAAAGTCGTTGGAAGTGGGAGACATCGTCTTGTTGTATGATATGTCGCTAGAAGAACAGTGGTCCAGAAAATTAGACAGTCGGTGGTTGGGACCATATCGGATCACTAGGAAAACATAAAATGGGGCATACGAAATAGAAGAGTTGGATGGATCTCGGGGTAGGAATTGGGTATCGGGTGCACATTTACGAAAGTTTATCCCAAGAGTTTAGTGAAAACTTTTAGAAAAGAAGGGTAGAGGAGGTGGTTGGTGGCATCAATTTTAAAAACTTTCTTGCTTTTGTATTGTGGTTCAGTTGGTTCTGACATTTGTCTTAGGCTAACCAAGAAAATTGTAAAGTATTAATAAAAGTATGGAAGTTGAAAGGTTATCAACGGGATTGTGACTCCTGTTATTTTGTAATAATTGATTTGTGTCAAACTGCCATAGACAATTGTAAAATGACTATGATATTTTTCTCACAATTGTCTCTATGCATAAGAGGTATTGGATACTGGTTGTAAAGTAAAAGAGTGATACCAAAGGGCCTTGTGAGATTTTTATCACGAGTGGATATTCATTGCGAGAAGTATATTGTGAAATAGCTGATGGATGCTTATATTGTTAAAGTATTCATCTCATATGTGAAAGAATGAAAAACTTGAAATTCCTATGAAACTCCGTGTATGTGGTTATAAATACGAGATTTGTAAGTACAAGTCTAAGGAGATGATCTGTACTTGGGTCGTATGCCTGACTTAACACATGCTATTCGTCAGACATGTGATTCGATTGCTCGTCATGCCTTACGACTTGATATTGTTTTGATTGTCACGAAGTGAGGAATCCTAATGTTGTGAGCCCCGTAGACAGTGGTGAGGCCTGGGCCGGAACTTTGTTCCTGGTCCATAGTGGGATGCTGTTATCCTTCCTTTCGGGGAGGATGACTACACTATCGTCGAAAGGGAGGAAGGTGGTAATATGTTTGTTGGAACCTTGCTTGTGAGGGTGACGATTAGCACTCGCCATGAGGGAAAGATTGATCACCTTTTCTTTTGTGGTGAATGGGGTCGTCTCGACTTTATGGCCGAGTCTGATCAGCTTAGGTCATAAGGGAGAGGTAGTTCAAACTTGCAGGTAGGGTACTAACGGATGTATGACACTGGAATCGGAGGGAAAGTGGTGAGGCTCGAGTCTAAAGTGGGGCTTGACGTCGAGATGTTATCCTCTATGGATTACACCACTCCTCGACGCATTTACAATACATGTAGGAGATAAATCGTGCATGACAATTAAGTTGGAGTGGGAATTAGCCGGACTGGACAAAGACTTTTGAAAAGGGTGATTTCTCTCTGGGATGGTGTCGGCACATGCTATAGCATAGTGTGAGTACCCTTGTGTTTAGTGGGGAGTCCGGGTTAAAACTCCAGGCAGCGAGAGACATGCTGAGGTGTTAGGAATGCACCCCACGAACATGAGAGGCCCAGGTTAAATTCCTGGGAGTATGTGTTGTATGACGAAAGACGCGCAGGGGGTTAAGACTGACGAGACCTAGACAGGGAGTTATAGCCTGAAGATAGTCCCATCAGGGGGATAAGCCTGATTCATCTATGAGAGACAAAAGGAAAGATGAGTGGCCGCCAGTGGGATGATGCTGGGATCATTCTTCTAAAAGGTTCTTGTAACTCCTCAGGCTGGGTAACGCCGGCGGTGGATTCCAAATTCCGGGGAAAGGCCTGTCAGAGGTTATTTCTGACCCCATTCCAACTCGTGACTTAATGAAAGTGCTTTCGAAGGAAGGTTCGAAAGAATTATTAAAGGCTTGAAAGTAAGCCCTTCTTGTTGACGGTAATGAAGTCTGCACGGAGTATTTCATAAGAAGGGTATCCAGAAGATTAGACAAGGAAAGAAAAATGAACGGCCGGAACGTCGTTCATCACGTATAAGTATGTAAAATCTGGGTTAATTCCAGAGATATTATGATTATGTAATATGTTTTGCGAGGTCTTTTAAAAACTTCCCCTTGTATTGCTTCCAACGGGCGCCTGCAACAGGTTTTTCCTTGTTTTTTTTTCTTTTATGGGTTTTTTCCTTTGTTAGATTTTGCTTAGATTTTTTAGATTTCCCTTTTAAGATTTGGTTTAGATTTTTGTTTTCTTTTCTTTTTTTCTTTTTAGTACCCGTTCGTTTCGAATGAACGGGCAAATGCAAAATGTGCCAAACAGTTTCGTCGGGGTTCCACCGACTCATCAAGAGGTTGGACCTCGACAGCCATCGGCTGGATGACAGAGACGACTGAATCAGCCGCACGAATGCGGCTGTATACAGGCGTGATGAAGGAGTCCCAGAGAGAGAAAGGGGAGGAAGTGACTGCTTGGTCATTTCGTCGGACTTGCACCGACTCATCAGGGGGTTGTGCCCCGACCGCCATCAGCGGATACAAGCGCGAGGGTATGCACCCCTTAAGAGGCTACATACAAGAAAGGAAGGTTAGAGTTGTTCTTTTTTTTTTCTTTTCCGTTCTTTTCTTGTTTTTTTTCTTTTTGTTATTTTCCTTTTTGTTATTTCCCTTTTTGTAATTTCCTTTAAAATTTTATTTTCCCCCCTGGTCGTGAACAGTTCCGCCTGCTCGTAAAACAGGCAGCAGCTGTCCAAAGGCCGCCCGAACCTGGCACTACTTGTGCCTAGGTGCGGGCACCTTATGAAGAGGTGCAGAGGGGAGAAAGGAAGGAAAGAAAAGGGTTGGGAAAAAAAAAAAAAAAAGGGAGTCGCGAATTTATTCACGATGCAGGACCAGATGCAGCAGTAGAAGCATCTGGATCCTGAGGTGACTGCAGACTGTTGAACTTCAACAGTCTGCTCTACCTAGCTCTATACGGCCAGTTGGGGCTGCGCCTGGCCGGGGGTGGCGGCCAGATGCATTACCAAGGCCAGGAACTTGGTTCCCCTAGGGGAACATCGAGTTTCTCAGCACTTGATCTGAGATCAAGGGTCAGGCCTCACTTCGAGTTTTGGCTGGGGGTAAAGCAGCTGCCCACAGCCTCCAGCCAGTTATAAAACAAGCCAGCAGCCAGCCAGCCAGCATTCATTTGTGGCTGGTGCTGCTGGCATTACGCTTGGGTGAATGCTGGCTGCTGGAGGAGGAGCCGTTGGTGGAGTGAGAAGGAGCTGAGTGGAGGCCTGCAAGAGAGAGAGGGGATGACTGCTGGAGGTGGCCATAGTTGTGGAACACAGCCATAGCCGCCATCTCAGCGAGGTAAAGAGAGAGAGAGAAGTGCTGGAGGTCTGCAGGGAGCATGAGAGTGAGGGCAGCCATAGCTGTCGCTGCACCCGGTGGAGCGTAGGGGAGGTGTTGTTCGTTCAACGCGGTGACGACAGCGGGTGTAGCTACGGTAGTGCGGAAGCGCTCCCGAAATTTTGCGGCGACGGCTATGTTTTTTCGGCGGTGACGCGGAAGCGCTGCCGAAATTTTGCGGCGGCAGCTGGGTTTTTCAGCGGTGACGCGGAAGCGCTGCCGAAATTTTGTGATAACAGCGGTGTTTCTTTTAGTGGTGGTGTGGTTGTGCTGTCCGGTTTTACGGCGCCAACAACAATTTTGAGGAGTGTCATCAAGAGGGGGTGCGCTTTGAGGTGGTGTTGATGTCATGTTGTCCGCATATTGCAGGCGGCGACGCCTCGACACAGTGGTAACATAGTGGTACGGGTAGCTAGTGGTGACAGCGCTGAGGCACTGAGGGGATTGCGTGTCAGTGGGCGATCCTTGAGGGAGTGGTGTGAATCACTTTTCTGACAGTCTACTGCGGCGATCTTCTCATTTGGAATGTGGTTTATACGACTTTCTTGAGTGGGCCGTATGCTATCTTTGGTTGAGCTTCACTCAAGGTCAGTTAAACTGACTCAGTCCTCTTCACACCTGTGTGAACCCACACTTGCTTGACCCTGTTCTTTGAGCGTTCATTGAAAAGGTAGAGGAGATGTGTGCATGCGCGTGTGAACGAGAGTCTGACCTGAGAATGGGTTTGCATTGTGTTGGTTTTGAACTTGTTTGTCTGATCTGATGTGCAGGTAAGTCGACGAATGCCCGAAAAAGAAAAAAAAAAGAAAAAAGAGGGAGAGATCTGATCATGGTAGTGGAAGCGAAGGGATGATGATTGTTTTTTTTTTGTCACTCACTTATGTGTATGGTGAAGGGATGGGAAAACAGTAGACGACGAGAAACGGAGCGATCACACAAAGGAGAAAAAGTGAATCGGATATAAATTTTTTCCGAGGTTACCCATTCTTTTCCGAATGTTCCTCTCTATCTATGCCCTTCCATCTGAATGGTTTTCTTCTCTATGATCTCCTTCTTCGTCTAGGTTCGCCTTGACGCCAGGCAATAAAGGGTTGA